CCCGGCCACGGTAACTTAATCCGGGGGCCGGGGCAGAGGAGGGGGTAGTGGGTCTCCGGAGAAGGAGGCGTGTACGTGCTAAAAACCAGGGTCTCTGTTTTGCTCCTCCTTCCCTATCGGGAAGAAAATTTGGGCTTGGTTCGGGTGGCGGAGGAGGGGAGAAAGGAGAAGGGAAAACTGGGTTCCGTGTCCCGGTTCTCCCGGCTTTTCTCCAACAGGTCTCGGGACCTAGGGCACGCGCTGCCAGGAGGCACCATTATTTCACGGGCGCCTGGCAGAGGTTTTCGAGGCCGGGACAGGTTTCTTGCCATGGGCTGGCTCACCTTGCTCTCATCCCAGTCGCCCCCCTCTTAACTCCCACACCTAAGACACTTGCTAAAGGAAAGGAACGGGTGCCTACCCAGTTCTCCCGGGAAGCCTGGGCCAGTCTTTCTAAACGCCCGGGCGGAGGCTGCAGCAGACGCGCAGTATCGAATTAAACGCTTCTTGGGGCTCATTGTCTCTCGCTAATTGCTCTAACAATGGACACTGTTAAAATGGAGACACCCAATTAAAGGCCTAGCCCGGCTGCGCTCCGCAGCTCCTGGGATCTGGACCCGGCCTGCCGCTTGCAGACCGCAGGGGCGCGCACCCGGCTGGTGAGGGGCGCCGGCGCCGGCCTCGACACCTCTGGCCTCCACTTCCTCCCCAGACACTCTGCTACCACGGCAGCTTCACACCATTTTTATTGACCGATCGCAGCCTAAGGAAGATTGATCGAACTGGAGTGGGAAGGGACTTTTCCCCCAGCCCAGGATCGCCGGGGCCGCGGGCCTTGCTCCCCCGGCTGCCCTTTGGAGCCGCTCAGAGCCCTCCCCGCCCCCAGCCCCGCAGGTTCCCGGCTTCATTTCAGTCCTTAACAGCACCGCTGGGTCCGCCCAGGCCGGCGCCGCGGCTCCGGGGGGAGGGAGGCGGCGGCGCGGTCCGGCTCCGCTTCTTTCTCCCGCCTGCAAATATTTGCTGCTTCGCTGGAAATCCGGCTATTTCGCGCGCGCTCGGCTTGCAAAGTCCTTAAGTAAACACGCTCAAATGACCGCCCCGGGCGGTCTGAGGCACGCTCTCTACCCCTGAGCCAGATTAGTAACTTTAGGACTTCAACCCCGAGGCTCCGCGTTGCTGGTTGCCCTGGGCCAGCTGCGTTCGTGCCCTGGGGCAGCCTCTTGCCGCACCGCGGCCCCGCGGAGCTCGCATGGTGGCCCTAGCCGCCAGGTTCGGGTGGGTGTTGCTGGCTGCGTGGGTTTCCGCTCTCTGGGTCCACTATGCCAGGGCTGAGGCTCGGAATCTGCTCCACCTACTTGCTCCAGGAACTCCGTTTCTGCAAGAACTGAGGATTCCCTGCTTCCATTGGGATGGGTCTCTGCGACCCTGGGAGGACACGTGGGAGGGACCTGCACCTGGGCCTGTGTGGGTGCGTGTGAGTGGGTCCCAGTTTGTCCCAATCGTGGAGGGAAAGTCAGACTCCACTTCTTACCCTTTCCCCAAGAGGGCACACATACCCCGCTCAACTTGACGCCTCAAGCACCCGCCTCGAGGCCTGGGGTTTCAGATAGGCCCAGGTGGCTCCCGCTGTCCCACGCTCGGCACTGGAGCCGGGCTCTTCGCCGGGCGGTGGCTGCGCTTCTCTCTGTTCCAAGAGGCGGGCGTCCCGGGCTCCAGGCCCCTTGCTGGCCCCATACCCCAGAAAGGGAGGCTTCCCGCACTACGGGAGGCCGGCCCTACGCTAGGGCGGCGGCGGCAGCATCCTTCTCGGTTGCCTCCTGCGTCCCCCGGAGCTCCGCCCGCTGCTCCCAGGGAGGGGGGCGTCTCGCCGGACTCTCCCCGGCCCGCGTGCCTGGGGAGGCGGTGCAGCCAGTCTGCGGGAGGGCGCAGAGGCGTCTCCGCGGGAGGCCAGACTCAGCTCTGTGGGCTCTGGCCACGAGAGAATGAGGACCACCTTTTCCCCTTCGCTGCCGGGAGCCCCCTCTTCTCCCCTCCCCCGCCGCCCGCCGGAGAGGAGGAAGCCCGGCCTGCATTTGCCGGCAAGGCGGGTCAGGCCGGCGCCGGGCCGAGCCCAGACCCCAGCCTCCCGCCCGGCTCTCCGCCTCAGGCCACACGCCTCAGCCGCTCCGGCCGCGCTCCCTTCCCCCTTCCTTCCCCGTGGGTCTCAGGCCGACCTCGGCCTCCCTCTCGGGCATCCCTCTCTTCTTCTCGCCCTTCCCCCTCCATGCTACTGACTCTGGGGCTGGGTCCGTGACGTCAAACCCAGTGTGGCGTCGGCGAGACTGGCCGGCGCGGGCCATCAAAAGAGCAACGTCCTCTTTCCCAATTACCCACTGTCAGTCCGGGAACAGGGGCGGACCGGCTGGGAATTACATGTTAAATACCCCCTACCGCCTGGCTCCGCTACCCCAAGCCTCCAGCCGCAGGCCCCTCACCCTCTCTGCCTGCCCCGAACCTTTTATTTTTCCAGGGAGGGGTGAGTGTGTGCCATTTTCCACCCCACAGCGGTCCCACTTCGAGGTGATCGAATTAAACCGAATCATCTCCGCCCCTGCCACCACCAAGGTAGCACACAGGCGCCCTTACAGGGCAAGGCCTCCTCTCACCAAACTTTTCCTTTTTTTTTTTTTTTTTTTCCGGAACCGGGGATTGAACTCAGGCCCTTGCTCCTGCCAGGCAAGCACTTATTCTACCGAGCCATCTCCCCGGCCCCTCCATCTTTTAACGTCATTCTTCTCTTCAAAAGTTAACATTTTTAAGTCCTGGCGTCAGTAGCTCCCTCTCCCCCGGAAGCTGGCTTCCTTTTACCTTTGCTGGGCTTTTCAGTCTCTGTGCCCAGGACCAACACTCTATGCTTGGGGTTTTCGGGGAGCTGTGAACTGATAGGGTCAGGCTGTTGGGCCACCGCGGGAAGAAACGCTTCTTATTTTTCTTGCGACTTCCATCCTTAATCTTCATCTCTATCCTTTTAGCAAAAACTATGAGCGTTCCTTCGTCTTCTCCCCTTGGTTGTGGAGTGGTTTCCGGTGCCTGTTAGACAGCAGCTAAATAATTAAAAAGTTTTGAGAGCGCCGTGAGCTGGAGGAGAGGCTGGCAGTTTGGCCCAGGAGAGATGCGTGGTCAAAGAGTGAGAGGAAAATCGATGCTCCTTTACCCGGCCGCCCTGTGCAAACCGTCTAGGCCCCAGAGCCACACGGAAGGGAGGACTTATTTTTTAAATTTAGGGACTTTCTTCCTTTCTATTGTAGAAAATCAATCCTGACTTCAAACACACATCGGATTTTGTAGAAGTGAGGACCCCACCGAAGGTCCAGGACTCGAGGGACCCGTTCTTCCAAACTTATCTCTCAGTCTTTCTACAAGGGTAGCATTTAGTTGAAGCTGATTATTAGTGTTTTCTCTTGGTCACTCGAGAGGACGCTCAGAACTGACGTGTAGGGCTGGCTTCTAGTGTATGGTACAGAGAATTTGTGAGGAATTTTATGAGTAGAGGAGTTAAGAGAGAAATGTCTTTCAAATGATCCCCAAGTCTAGCTCTCGGCTCAGTCAAGTGGGGAAGCTCCAGGGAGAACCCCCAACCACTCCTCGAACACATACACTAAGGTGGACCTGGAGTCTTTTCCCGCCTGACCCTGGGCCCAGGCCGCACTTTCTGGCTGCTGCGTGCAGGAGCCACAGCGCCGCTAGGGGATGCAGTGGCTCAAAGGACCGAGAGCCGCCTCAGAGGTTGCAGCCCGCAGGGCGGGCCCCTAGATGCCTGGACGCAGCCCCGCCCGCTGATTGGCTCCCTATTGACCCCGCCTCTCGCAGCTCCGCCCTCCCCTGGGCTTCTCGGAGCCGAGTTCCCTCTGTCCCGGGCGGCTCACTGGGCAGAGCCAACCAACAACCCTGCGGGGAGAGCCGCCTCGTCCCACCCGGGAGTCTAGGGCGAGTATTGTTGGAGGGGACCGGCGTCCTCGGCTGGGGGCCGGAGTTGAGGAGGAAACTAGGCAGAGCGAAGGGTAAAGTTTGGAAACTGGAGCAAAGCCCGAGTCCTACCTTCTCCGGCTGTAGTTGGCACATGCACGGGCAAGGCTCCATCTCCCCTCCCCGCTGTCATCCATCACTATTGTCACTCAAGTAGAAAGCACACATCGATTACAAAGATTATTAGGGCTGCAAAGGACAGCTGCAACAGCTGGGGCATTTTCACGGGAGAGCCTTGTGAAAACTAAAGGCCAAGGGGAAAATGGGTGACAGCGACAAAAAAGTAGTGCGGGCATGTTCCATGTGCCCGATGCCTCCACATTTTAGGGAACCGGACGGAGAGGCCGGTTGTAACCTTAGCATGCAACATTTATTTTTTTTCCTGGTCACTTTCACGTGCACATAACCCCCAGTTGATAAGCTCACTGAAGTTCCCTAACTACTACTACTACTACTACTACTACTAATAATAATAATAATAATAATAATAATGTGTCCATTTAAAAGTCTGAGAAAGAAAGTCCCTGGTGGAAATTAACTTTATGAATGGGGCAGGACAGTTTCACCGGGATGGAACTGTCTCCCAAACCAGAATGAATCGGCAGGAGCCGAGGCCACATTTAAAGGGCCAGAGCGCCAATTCCCTCTTGAGCACCCCTCCGCCCCTGGCCCAGCCGGCCTCGCCCACCCTGCCAGTCGTCCCTCCGCCCGCGGCAGCCCTCCGTGGCGCCCCTTTCCGGTCAGTGACGGGGCGGGAGGAGGGGCGGCGGGGTGGGGGTGAGGTCCTGGAGCGGGTTTGGGTTGCCGTTTCCTTGTGCCGGGGATCCTGTCCCCTCCTCGCCAGCGCCAGGCTCCGCCCCCTCGGCGCGGATGACACTAGAACCTCCTTAAGTTGCGTCGCGCCACAGCTGTCTGCGAACACTGAGCTGCCTGGCGCCGTCCTGATACTTTCAGAAAGAATGCATTCCCTGTAAAAAAAAAAAAAAAAAAACTGAGAGAGTGAGAGAGAGAGGGGGGAAAAGCGAGACGGAGAGAGCGCGAGACAGAGCGAGCTACGCAATCTGACTGAGCGGGTCACACGCCTCCTCCTCCTCTCCAGTTCTTGCTACCCAGGTTGGTATGATGACTTTTTTTTTTTTTAAGTTTGATTCACCCCCTCTCTTGCCCAACTTGGGAGGACTTTTAAAAGATTAAAACTCAGGTCTCGTTTTTGTTCCTTTTTTTTTTTTTGGACGGTTTCTAGTGGTTGCAAGAAAGGTCCCAGGACTGAGGTCCCCGAGGGAGAGACCTGTCCTCCCGGTTATAACCATTCGGTCCTTCCCGAGATGTCCTCGGAAGCCCGGCTGCCCCTCTGGCGGCGTCCGGGCGCGCAAGCGAGTCCCTGCTCCCGTGCGCAGGGTTGGCGGGCGGGCGGATCCAGGGGCGGTGGTCAGCTCCAAAACTCAGGTGCTCAAGTGCTTATATGCTCAACTAGGTCTCTCCTCTCCTTGCAGGTGACTGGGCGCCGAGAGCTCTAGTGCTGAGGAAACCTTCTCGCAGAATTCCAGCATCTTCGCCCCCCTTTTAAAAAAATTTGGTCCTACTTTTTGGATTTGTTTCTCCTTCCTTTTCTTTTCTCCAAACTATCCCTTAAAGATCCCTCCCCCCACCCCAAACCTCCTTTGCTCATCTTTCCTTCCCAGTCTCCCTAGTTCCCCACTGAAAGCAAACCATTAAACAAGCTCCCGGCCTTCCGACGGCCGGAGTCCGCGGACCTCCCAGGCCGACCGCCCTCCCTCTCGGCGCGCGGGTTCCGGGCCTGGCGAGAGGGCGCGAGCGCAGCCGAGGACATGGAGGTGACCGCGGACCAGCCGCGCTGGGTGAGCCACCATCACCCCGCGGTCCTCAACGGGCAGCACCCGGACGCGCACCACCCCGGCCTCGGCCACTCCTACATGGACCCGACGCAGTACCCCCTGCCAGAGGAGGTGGATGTACTTTTTAACATCGACAGTCAAGGCAACCACGTCCCGTCCTACTACGGCAACTCGGTCCGGGCCACGGTGCAGAGGTACCCTCCGACCCACCACGGTGAGTGCGCGCTCTCGGGGGCTGGGACCCTCGCCCTGCGCGCCCGCGCTCCTCGCTCGAGGAGGCCGGGAGGGACTCGGGCTGGGGAGAACCCGCGATAGCCCCTACGTGAAGTTACTAGTTCATTTACAGAAAAAAATTGGAGCCCGGAAATGGGTGAGGAAGCCGTCTCTCTCGTTGTGAGAGTGTGTTTTTAAAAAGAGTCGCAGCAGGCATTTCTCCGGGCTGAGGTCCCAGGCCAGGGGCTCACCTGGCGCGCGAGGAGATGCGGCCCTCAGTCCCTGCGCGGCCGCAGGTTAAGGGGCCCGGAGGTCCCCGGTGCGGGACGCCCAGGCGGTGACTCCGCGGGCCGAGGCTCCCGGGGCCGGGCAGCGGGCACCTAACAAGCCGGCTCCAGATTGGGCGCTTGCGCAGGGCTGACGCTCCCTGAGAGCCCGCAGTTTCCTGGTGGAGTTTCTGCCGGTGCCCCCAAGCGGGTTTCTCCCGGCACATTTTTCAGGGAGGTCCATTTCTGACCTCCTTGAGCTTTCCTCCAGCTAGTGCATTTGATTTTTTTTTTTAAGTTTCTTACCTAGTCCTGGCCCAGAATGGCATTCTGGTGCTTGAATCAGTTTAAGGGGCAAGATTACTGCCTTGAATTTGAGGAATTTTAGGTTTCCTGGTAATTTCCCGGCTGCACAGAAATTTTCCACTTTTTAAATTTGTTTGTCTCATTGCCTGCTACAACTCTGGCCCTATTCTTGGCTCCGGCCTACCACAGTCCCCTTAGTATCCTGAGGAAGATTTAGGATATATCAGGGCTTCCTTCTAGGAAGGAACATTCTAGGTGTCCTTTTGCCTCTTCACCCTGAGTTTAGGAGAGTTTGGAAATGTAAAGAAAGCAACCCAGCTTGGGGCAGTTAGGGGGAAGAACGGTCTAGCACTTTCCATGTTCCTAAAGCAGAAATAGGAGCAAAAATTCAGAAGGAGAAACTATGAGGTTTTCTCAGTCCAGCCAGACACAGGGCAGCTCTGGTCCCCTGACTCTAAGCTGGCTTTGGCGCCACCAATGACACAGCCCCTCCGGCAGCAGCAGGCGTCCTCTGGCCCACAGTCGTCAGGTTTTAAACAAGCGTGTTATTTTTTTTTTTGCAGATGGGGTGCTCTTTGCCCATGTTCTGTGCGCATCAGCAGTTGAGTGGCAATGCCTAGATGCAGGGCTAATATTATTTACTACACGACTTCCTGCATGAGCTGAATCTTAACCCTTGGAGTTCAGAGAACTCGCTGTTCGCCTGAACTCCCCTCCCCTTCCTCTCAAGATTTTAGTTTCAGTATTGCGCTCAGTGGTTGAATAGAGTGTTAACTGGTGAGGAGGCAGGTACTGGATTAAAAGATCAATAAGTGTGTGGATTTGCACTTCCAGTTTAAACAGACCCTTTTCAGAGACTATGGACATGTATGTTATCATTGCCTTAAAACTGTATTTTAAAGGAATGCTAAATATAGTTGGCGTGAATCAGACTCAGTTTATAACATACACATAAACTGAAATTTTGTATCAGGGGCTCAGGAGGAGATTGTCATTTAGGCTTGGTGGGATCCCTGCTTTGGGGACTTATGGCCTATTTTCTTCTATCAGATTTGGAAGGGTGAGAAAAGCAGAGAAACTCCCATCCCAAGTTCCTTGGAAACTTTCTCTCAAATGCTTGAGCAATGAAAATTTCCTTGCAGCTTTCCTGTGTTCCAGGCCTCTCTGAAGCATCTTTGTCAGTTCTGAGCAAGCACTGAAATTTGGTTTCTTGGTGCTAGCCCTCTAATGCTCCTTGCCGTGCCTTCTAGAAGTCTTGGGAGATGGGCCTCTCAAAGGTGGGGAGTTCTCTCCTGGTGCTGAGCCCCCGTGTGGCCGGGCTCCATCTTTCAGGCCTCATCATTCACAGCTGACCCTTATCAGGCTGCATGGGATTAAGTCTGGGATGGGAAACTCCGAGCCATTGAAAGAAACCAATAAATCAAGTCAGGTTCTAGAGAGGGACCTTAGGAATGTGATTTAGACTGCATATTTGAAAAAGTCAGATAAGAAGACAAGGGACCTTTCTCCACTCCTCTGCAGTGCTTCTCCGGTGTCAGGCACAGGCTCTTAGTTCTTCTGGGTTTGATGGGACCTGGGCACAGGAGATGGCCCCAAGGTGTGTGTCCAGGTGGTGGGCTACAGGGACTGTTAGCGAACAGGACTGATCCGGGTCCTGGTGGGTGCTGGGGCGGCCAGGCAAGAGTCCTCAGGTGTGTTCCAGGGCTGCTCTCACCTGCACGTCTCTCCCTCAGGGAGCCAGGTATGCCGCCCGCCTCTGCTGCATGGATCCCTGCCCTGGCTGGACGGCGGCAAAGCTCTGGGCAGCCACCACACAGCTTCACCCTGGAACCTCAGCCCCTTCTCCAAGACGTCCATCCACCACGGCTCCCCTGGGCCGCTTTCCGTGTATCCTCCGGCTTCGTCCTCGTCCCTGGCCGCGGGCCACTCCAGCCCACACCTCTTCACCTTTCCACCCACCCCACCGAAGGATGTCTCCCCGGACCCATCGCTGTCCACCCCGGGCTCGGCCGGCTCTGCACGGCAGGATGAGAAAGAGTGCCTCAAGTACCAGGTGCCGCTTCCCGACAGCATGAAGCTGGAGGCTTCGCACTCGCGCGGCAGCATGACCACCCTGGGGGGCGCCTCATCGTCCGCCCACCACCCCATCACCACCTACCCGCCCTATGTGCCCGAATATGGCTCCGGACTCTTCCCGCCCAGCAGCCTGCTGGGGGGCTCCCCCACGGGGTTCGGATGTAAGTCGAGGCCCAAGGCGCGATCCAGCACAGGTAGGAGCCAACTCTGCCCTCCTTCTCCTAAATTAGGGCGGGACAAGAGCGACCACCAAAGGAGTCCCTGGGGAAGCTGGGGGACCGTGATCCAAGCCCTTCTGAGATTGCTTTCTACCCATTCTTCCAGCCTGGGGAGAATGAGGTGTGTCCTCCTAGCTCCTGTTTTAGGAGGTAGAGGGAAGGCGGCTCTGATTTAAAACCCCTCAGTAAGAAAGGGAGGACAGCAACTAGCAAAGAGAGAAACAAAAGCACAGTATGTACTCTCCCGCCTGTCCTAGGACTTCTGGATTCTGCTGGTAACATTTAGTTAGTCTTCAAAACCAAATGGAAGGCCTCAGGAATAGATCTTTAGTGTTCAATGCTAAAATGAAACCTCCTCAAACCTAAACAAACACAGGTCCCTCCCGTGACCCCTTTGGCCCCTGTTAGTCTGAGACGTTCCTCTCCCTCAGCTCAAAGGGAGTCGTTCTGTGTATAGCAGAGGACAGTTCTTTAGGGGACAGGCATAAATAAAATGTGTGTATGTCACTGAAGTTTTGGGAAAGAGACAGGAATAAGGCAAAAATAGCACCCACTTTCCTTGGTGGAAAGGAGACTGAGTTTAGCTTCAGAGAGCAGGAGGTGGCTGTGTGACAGGGAAGCAGAGTTGAATGGAAATCAGATGTCCAGCGGCCCGTTGGTTACCTGCAGGTCTTTTAGGGCCCCGTTGGTTACCTAGAGGTCTCTTAGGGCTATCATGTGGGGCGGGGGCAGGAAGCTGTACTCGGACATATTCCTGCATTGACCAGAAGCCAGGAGATGTGGCGAGCAAAAAAGGGCTCTGAAGGTGTGTATTTCTGTTAACTCTGGTTATTCTCTTTCCAAAGAGCAGCTCTGTCTCGTGGCATGGTGCCTGTTTATTCTGTGGATGCAGTCACTTGCATTAAAACACACATGCACACACAGATATTTTTTACCCTAAGAACAGAATAACCCATCATCAATTTTGTTCCTAGTGGAAGCAATCAGTCGCAGGAGAGACAGGGGTTCTGTGAGAGAAGGCTTAAGTGTATCTTAAGTATGATTTCATGAAGGTTGTAGTCTTCTAAGGTGTGATCATTTCAGGGCACATATGCATTCCCTGGTCTTCTCCAAGTGTCTTTCTCTCTGTCTCTTTGGATCCTATAAAAAAGCAGTGGTGAAAGTGAGTTGTTTTTAAAGAGTGAGAAGAGCAGTCTTGAAATGGGTGCTCCCAGAGCTCCGAGTTGAAAACTTCAGAGGGGAGGGTTTGGGGAGCCCAGTGACCATGAGATCAGTTTTCAGGGTTTTTTTCTAGGGTGACATTCACTCCGACTGCCTGAGCAGGACTGTCTCTATTTAGTTGATATGTTTTAGCTAATCCAATTATTTTCAGACTGCTGCACGCGACAGTTGCATTGTTTATCCCGAGCCAGGAACTTTAATAGAGTCCGGATGCGGTTAGGCTGACAGAAAAGCTCAGACCTGCATGTTCAGTACATGAAAGTGGGCAGGAGGGAGAAGGAGGTAGGCTGGTTGGCGGAGTCAGAGAGAGAGAGCAGAGGAAGGAGACCTGGGGAGCAGAGCACCGGGTTCCTGCTCCAGGACGGGCTGGCTGGCTGGTGTTGGGGGGGCGGTTGCTGGAGAGATGGGGACAGCTCAGCTTCGGAACAGGGGGCCGCATCAAGTTTTTTTCGTTGTTGTTTTTAAGTTCTCTTCACTGAGAAGATCATGAGGTTGGGGGAACATCCAGGTCTCTGAGGCCAGTGTGGTGGCTTGTGTGTGGGGAGGTGACAGAGTGACTTTCCCAAAAGCCTCTGGTGCCAGTGGCCTCATTTCATTGTTTGATTTCCACCCCCCTCCCCCGACTGTGCACTCTCTCTGCTTCAGTTTGGGCTCTCATTTCTTCCTTTAAGACAGTGAACAGGGGCGGGGGAGCAGCTGGGGGGGGGGGTCCCTAAAGCAGAGCTGAGATCACCTGTAGTTGCAGTGTTTTGCCAAGGGAGAGAGGAGGCCATTAAAACTTGGGTCTTTACTTCCTCCTCTTATTCCTTTCTCAGTCACAAAAAATCAAGAACAGCACACCTGGCCAGCGAGGGAGCTGGGACTTTTGGAGTGTGGAGGGGAGCTTCTGAGAAGCTCTGTGTGTGCAAAGGGTCAACTGATGAACACTCTGGAAAGGACTCCTCTCTCTCTCTCTCTCTCTCTCTCTCTCTCTCTCTCTCTCTCTCTGCTTTTTCTTTGTAAATACACTTGCTAGAGGAAGAGAGGGCTGTCAGAGCTATTGGGGCTGCATTTTGGAGAACCCGTAGAAGCTATAGCCAGGGCACATGGCTGTCTACTCCCTGGCTTTCTGAGCTGGGATAGGTCTTTGCAAACAAAAGACAAAAAGCTTTTACCAAAGGCTCCCAACCACCCCTTAACTGTGGGCATCTTCCTCTGGGCTCCTCTGAAATCTCCTGCCCTGGACCCTGTTCCCTCACAGCACAGCATCAGGCTTGTCAAGGTTTCAGTCTGAAGCCCAAGGGGCATTTGAAAATGGCTGTTGAATGTCAAAAAGCCTCACAGCTCTGTGGTTCTTGTCACCTAAGAGTGAGGTGTCTGCCCAAGCAGCTCAGGCATACAGGCAGGACAGAAAGCAGTAGACAGGGGGCCTCCATTAGGAAAATTGGCTGTGGGCTGAAATCACAGACTGGAGGCAACAAGGAAAAAAGAGAAAGAAAGAGCGCACACAAGGTAATCGCAAACTTGCGGAGTGAATCAAGACAGAAAATTGCTCTAGTGTGCAGAGCCGGGCCCAAGAGCAGCCGTTGCTCTCTGGCTTTCAAGGGCCTCTGAAAAGGAAGCTGTCATCCTGCCTCCTGACTGACAAAGGAAAGGAAATCAGACTGGTCACATCAGAAGGTGACATCCTCTCATGCCAGGGTGCCTAGGAGCAGGGGCCATCCATGCTGTTCCCTACAGGGGCCACCCCATCCTGGTGGCTGTTGGTGGCACATATGCAGGGGGAGCAGGCTCTACTTTACCCTTCCGCTGGCCTAGTGCCCCAGCAAGGCAGGAACCTAAGTGGTTGTGTCAAAGTAGGGTGGGGCCAGGGCTGCTGTCCCCAGAAAGGGCAGCAGGGAAACTGGGGCCTGCAGCCTCTTGGCCCTGGCTGCGGCCAGCACTCGCCCACTCGCCCTTTCCCCTCTTCTTCACGCCTCCCCCACATCCAGTCTGCCACATACCCTGGCTTCTGACCCCAAGTGAAAGGTATGGGTGTGAGGCACTCCAGGGCTTTTTTTAGAGAACTGAAAAGAGCTGCTGAGTACCAGGAAAGTGTTTTTGGCCCCCGAGTGCAAAGTTAGTGGACACAAGGAAAGCTTTCTGTAGACCCCAGGCCCAGAAGCTTCTTGGAATGGGGAGGGTGGGATCTTTGCTTTAAAAGTATTTGAAAAAACAAATAAGAGAAAAACTATCACTCTGGGCTATAGGGAGAAGGGAGTCAGACCATCTTGCATTTTCCAAGGTTTTAAATTTTCCTATTGAATTTGCCCCTGGAAGAGAACAGAGCCCCGAGGGTGTGCATGCCACGAGTTCCCTCATTCTTGATCTGGGGGTTTCCAAAGGTCCAGCAGGGCTCCAGCCTGCCAAACCAGACTTCTCCTCTCTTTATAGCCAGTTAAATTGCTCTCCTCATGGCTTACTTTTCCACTTTTCTTTTCTTCAGAGGCATCACAATTTGTAAGCACTCTCTGGGTTCTCTGCTCCCACTTCAGCCCTCCTGCTAGACTGGTGGTGATTGCTAATCTCAAGACAAAGCACCTGTCAGCTTGACTCATCTTCCTTTGCACTGCACACTGGCTCTGTGGCCCTCCCTGGGCCTGTCCCAGTGGACCAGAATGACTATGGCCCTTGCCCCTCCAGGTCCCTCTTGGGCACTGAAAGAACTGTGTACCACAGGGCATCCAGCTGTTCCCCAAAGTGGAGGAGAGTCCCCCCAAAGGCATCCTGTTTTTCCTCAAGAGGTGTTAGCTAGAAATCACACCTTCTCCCAGGTTCTGTGCAAGTTAGGGGCTTCTTTCATGTGCTTCATGGGAGTGGGAGTGTGTCACTCTCTAGCTCTAGCTCTAGGAGAATTGCTGCTGCAACAAGCCGGGGCTGTTTTCTGTTTATTTGGTTTGTGTCATTGGAAAAAGAGAAACTGCAGCAGGCTGTGGCCGACAGCCCACCAGCAGCCCCACTGTCTTTGGCTGGCTTTTCTCTTTTGATCTCCAAGCCATCTTCATTCAATCCCTCTCATCTCTCCCACCCCTCCTCTGCCTCCTCATCTTTCTCTCAGGTTCCCTACTTCAAGGCTACTCTGTGTTTCTTTCTAGCAAGTGCTGGCCAGTCAGGCTGGGCTCACACTCAACTTTAGTTTCTATACTAGTGGATGGAAAGCTATGGAAAACCGTGGCATTTTCTAGATAGAGAGGAGGTAAATATAACTTTGCAATAAGGAGCAATTACAAGTTTATTAAAAGCAAAACCCAGAGCCCCGGATATTCATCAGCCAGCCAACTGATCAATCTATACATCTAGTTAGTATCTGTTTATCTATGTAGTCATTAATTAATCTTTCCTTTTCCCTCATCCTAATCTTCATTATTTAATCAAGCTATGCAGACAGAGCTAGTGATAAAAGGGGTCACCCTTGTTTTTTGTTTTTCTTTGAGGGAAATGAAAGGGATGCTTGGCTTTTGCCACTGTCTAGGGCTCAGCCTTTCTCAGGAAAGTATTTCAAATTGAAATCTGCCTTCCTCTTTTTTTCTACCTGATTTCCCCCATCAAATAAAGCAGGCTGAGAACAAGGTTCTGCTGCTATTTATTAATCTTCCACTTCTTTGGACACAATCAGTTTGTGTCCTGGGAGTGGTCAAGGCAGGAATGAAGGGCAGTAATAACTCTGTCAGCAAATAAGAGGTGGCAGTGGAAATGATTCTCTGAAGGGCCAAGAAAGAAGACTTCTCAGCTTGGCTTCTTCTCCTAATTCTAGAAGTTGTCTGTCTCCCTGTGTGTTTTCCTTCCATAAGTGACTTATCTGTTGTTTGTTTCCAGAAGGCAGGGAGTGTGTGAACTGCGGGGCAACCTCGACCCCACTGTGGCGGCGAGATGGTACTGGTCACTACCTTTGCAATGCCTGTGGGCTCTACCATAAGATGAATGGGCAGAATCGGCCGCTCATCAAGCCCAAGCGAAGACTGGTGAGTTCTGCTTGGAAGAACTGCTCCCTCATGCAGCATTTTGTGTTTCCACTTCCTCTGTCCAGGAAGGAGGACTTTTTGTAGGAAACTGACAGGGCAGCTCAAAGCATGTCAACTTGCTCAGTACAGCTTTGGCTTTTTACAATGAGCTATACAGTTAGGCATTGTGATGCATTCTTGTCATACCGGTACTTGGGGGACAGATGCAGGAGGGTTGCCATAAGTTCCAGGCCAGCCTGGGCTACATAATGAGTTCAAGGACAGCCTGAATTACATGGCACAATCTTGTATCAAAAAATGATATAAAAGGGGCTGGGGAGATGGCTCAGTAGAATAAGTGCTAATGTGGCAAGCGCAAGGGCCTGGGTTCAATCCCTGCTTCTGAAAAAAAAAATAAAAATAAAAAATAAAAAATTAGTGACACAGAAAAACTGTTTTCCCTTCACATTGCTTAAATAACTTCTCAAACTTTCAAAGATGTAATTCTAGGTTATTACATCTGAAATGTACTCCCCAATATAACAATTGGATTTAACAGAAACAAGGAGATTGATTTGAAGTATACTGTTAATCACAGTGTCTCAGAGAACCTTAGTATAAGGATGGAATATCCCAGAAAGCACTGAAAATGTGCTCCGGAAGTAGTTGAAGGTGGACACTGAGGAAGTAATTGAACTCATATCTGTGGATGACTCTTTTTTTTTTTTTTTTTGGTGTAGCTGGGGATTGAACTCAGGCCCTTGTGCTTGCCAGGCAAGCGCTTATTCAATTGAACTACCTCCCTAGCCCTGTGGGTGACTCTTAAGCTGCTGTTTTAAGACTGATGGGGCCTAAATTTAAGAAGTAACAGGCACTGATGATTGCTACATTTTTCCTTCCTTGGTTTTAGAAATTGATAACTTCTATAGGTTAATTCCTGTAGGAGAAGTTCTGTGATTCCTCTCTTGCCTGTTGGTCTCACCTAGCATTTGGTCTTATTTTCTCTTCGAACTGTTATCAATAGGGTGATAATTTTTATCCCCCACCTCTCTCTTTCCCTTTTCTTTTTTAAACTTCTTGATTATTAGAAAGACTTGAGAAAACTTGGCACTACTGAGCAGGAGGGGTCCATCTGTAAGTTTATCTTTGGAACCTTAGGGCAAATGGAATACTGAGTGTACGTACCAGTGACAAATAAAAGCAGGCTTGGCAGATGACAGCTAACCACAGTCAGGGATCAAAATGCTTTGTGTGGTGCTGAAATTCACCCAGTGCAGAGAGGAGGAGGGGAATTTCCCCTTGCAGACTAATGGATGAATTAACACCCATCAAATTCTAAAGGAAAAAAAAAAAGCCTCTGTATTTTTTTAAGCACTGTGTGTCTGCTTCATCAGGTTGTACTGCAGCTCAACACCTTTCACATCCTCTTTAGAAAAAGCAGACTTTCTAGGGATGGAAGTACCCACATGACTTTAATTTTTGGCAATCCTAGATCACTAGACTTTATTCTTTCTGATCTTTGCCCCTTCTCCAACTTTCTCAGCCTCCCCCACTTCTCATGCAGTGTGGGTTTTTTGTTTTTTTTCTTCTTTCCTTTCTCTCATGTACAAAGCTAACTTCCTAGGAAAAAGCTGCCGGATATCTGAGCACTAGAGATAACTCATAAACAACAACTCAGCTTCCCCAACCTAAACATCAAGATGTTTGGACGGATCAGAACAAGAAGTGTTTGAAAAAAAAAAAAAAAAAAAAAATGACTGGAGGTGTTACACAGAATGAACATGATCACACCGTGAAAGAATGTTCTGAATCACTCTGACCTGGCCTTAGGAAGAAAGAAGGAAAGAAAGAAAAAAAGAAAGAAAGAAAGAAAAAGAAAAGAGAGAGGGATAGAGAATGAAAAGAGATATTTCTTGTTAAAATAAATCAGTACAAGTATAGTATGTTTTAAGGTAAAGGTTATGAAGAAAAAAGCAGAGTAAACATCTTATACGGTGATGTGAGCAGGAGTTTGTTTGACCTCATTTTATATAATTTTGTCTTCACTCACCTTTCCTGGGAAATCTGTAGAACTCTGAGTAAGAATTGCTTTTAACTCTAGAGTTCATTGGCTGTCACACAATAAGCTGTCTTTTCTGTCTTAATCATTTGTCCTGAGCGGTTTGATATTTTTAGTTCCATAGAATTCATAAACCGTAAAGAGACATTAGAGTGTTTTTTTTTTTTTCTTTAAATTAGCTCTTAGGTGCGTTTGATTTTTGAACATGTAGGCTTTGGTTTTCTGTCTTTTTTTTTTTTTTTTTTTTCTTGGTAAACTGTGCCTTGTGCGTGCTGAGCGTGTGCTGTACCACAGAGCTACACTCGGAGCCCCAGAACCTCCTTTCCTGTCTCATGCGTCTTCAGGTCCGTCTTGCAATTTGGACCTGAAATTGCTTTTGTTTCACACCTCTGAGGAGTCACTCAAGAGCACCTAACCCCTAATGTAATTGGTGTTCTTGTGAGATGCGTGCCTAACACGGATAAACTAACATAGGGAATAGAAGAGGTGCTGAAGCGCAAGACCCGGAGATTCCACGCCCCCCACCCCAGTATTGCCAGGGTTTTCATGAATCTCATATCCTTCGAAAAGCTGAGCAGCCTGCTTTATTACTACCCTTCATCTCTGCTAGGGAGCCAGGCAGCACGGCCTTGAGAGACCCTGTGTAAGTTTTCATAAAATCTGTAGCACTGAAAACGTAGTCTGAGCCGGTTTGTATTTGCTTTCTCTTTTTAAAATATTTATGTTATTTTCAATCCCACAAAGGATTACCTACTGAAGCTCACTGTTTGGAACTCTACTTTTAGCAGTTGGCATTATATTTATATTTTATATTCAGAATTGTTGTGCCGGTAAATCTGGCTGCCTGAGTAGATATTAGTCTGATATATCTGAATATTTCTTTTGTAGGAAAACAGAACTGCAGGGAGATAATAGTAATCACATGTGACATAATTGTCAAAAATCATTAAGCATTAATTTATGTAGCACTTTCTTTCCACGAGTACCTCCGTGACGCAGTTATTTAAGTGCTATCACATTTCACAAAGGCAGAAGTAGAATCGGCCTTCTTGGGCCTTGGTGAATTACGTTCAAAATGGACAGCAAAAAGTAGCGCCTTCTCCATTATGTGAGACCAAGGCTGTTTTTAATTCACATTTCCTTAGAGTAGAGAAAAAAAGAATTTCTTAAAAATAAAAGGAATCAGAGCTCTGCTACTTCAAGCCTAGAGGGACATTATCTGTGGGACAACATAGTGGCTGTATCAGTCTGGTTAATTCAGAATTGCCACTGGCTTTTCTATATCTAGAGTAGCTGTCTCAGGAGTGGTCAGTGGCCAAGGCCTAACGTGAACTGTGTGAATTTTTCATGTGCTTGGTCCAATTTTTTTGTCTGATACAATATGGATAGAAAAGAACACGGGGATCTCTGTGGTTTTTGCTCCATGTTCTTACATCAAGATTTCTTTCCTCCACCTCTTCTTCCTTTCTTTCCTTTTCTCCCTCCTGCAGATCAAACCTGAGATCTTGTGCAGACTAAGTGCGAGTTTAGCACTTAGCTATACCACCAGCCCCCACGCCAACACATTCTTGACCACAGATAAAGACCAGCCTTTTCTCTGATGATAATTTTGCATCCAAGAGAAGCAGTAATTTTGGAGTAATTTACAGGTTTTGTTTTATGATAGACAGTGAGGAAGGGGAGAAAGGAGTATGTTAGAAGCAAGTCAACTTCATTTTCTTTTTTTTCCCCATAATTTTATTGAACCATTTTCTTTTAATAGTATGGAATTTCATTTTTGTTTAAAGTATGGATGTCAAATAATAGTCATTGATCAACTTAGACATATCAAAAAGTGAAGGTGAAATAAATCTCCATTTTAAAGAAAATGAAAGCTGTGTGGGTGGTACAACCAAGGAATTAAAATATAAGTTGAAGTTGACTTTTTTATTCTGAGGGTGGACTGGAGATTAAACTCAGAGTCTTTGCACTGACCTACATTCTCAACCCTTTTAAAATGTTTTTACTTTGAGACAAGCTCTTTTTAAATTGTTCACGCTGGGCTTGAACTTGTGAATCTCCTGCCTCAGCCTCCCAGAGCAATGGGATTATATGCCTTTGCCACCATGTCTGCTACTCATCTCCTTCGTGAGCAGCAAATAGGAATCTCCTAATTTCATGAAGGGGATATGAGAGTATATCAATAGGGTCTGGGAATCCAGCTGAAGAGAAAAGTTACTTGTTCCTTTGAGTCCATTGTGTTAAATGATGAGTGCTTAATTGGGGAGGCCAGAGTGGCTGTCTCAGGAGTGGTCAGTGACCGAGGCCTAACGTGTGAGCTGTGTGAATTTAGGCTGGCTGCAAGTTGGATGAGGTCTTGTTGACTTAGGCTGTCCTGCTGAGTGCTTCCTAAGTCCTGTCACCAGTTAGTGCTGCACATGCATGCAGACACCTCAGAAGGTGGCACTGTGCTGTGACACACCGTTCTCTCTCCTGATACCTGCTCTTTCTTGGTTTGGGATCTAGTGAGTGCTTGCTTTCCTTGTTCGGATTTCCTCTCCCTTTGCTGTCCTTGTACCCTGATAGCCAGGACCCTAATAGCACTGACGTTCTTGGGAGTTATGTTTGCAAAAGCGCTCTTGTAGGCCAGGGCTGGAGAATAAGATTACTCTGAATGATTCAAAATTTCTACCTATAAAAATAAGTCTTCTGGTATGCTTCATGGGGTGGAGGGAAGGGGTGACGTAGGCAAGAGGTTGAACTTCTATAGCCCCACATGCTCTATCCAGGGGATAGGCTGTAGTTTTCGTCTCGAGGCAGACTTGGGGATCTTTATTACTTTCATGTGGGCCACTTGCTAGTTTTGATTTCAATGATAGTGTCTGCCTTTTTTTCTTTTTCTTTCTTTCAAGCGCGTCTATCCACGTGGTTCTGACGGCACATTTATTGTTTGTTTTGATTTTCCTCCCCCACCCCCACCCCAGTCGGCAGCAAGGAGGGCGGGCACGTCCTGTGCGAACTGTCAGACCACCACTACCACCCTCTGGAGGAGGAACGCCAATGGGGACCCGGTCTGCAATGCCTGCGGTCTCTACTACAAGCTGCACAATGTAAGTGGGCCTGGGACCAGCAGCACGGGCCGTGTCCAGCAACACCCAGTAAACCATGTCGAGGGCCCTGGGAGGGCCCCTGATGGGCCTGAGTCACCTTCCTTCCGGCTGAGCCACGGGCCTCAGATAGCGAGTGCAGGAGGATTTAGTCCAGAAGACCACAGTGGTAGCCTTGCCTAGACCGTAAGGGCTCAGTGCAACCCACTTAGTATGTGTGGAACACACCATCCACCATATGGCAATCTGATATGCTGTCTAGACTATCTGCTTTTTTTTTTTTTTTTTTTTTTTTTTGTGGAACTGGGGATTGAACTTGGGCCCTTGTGCTTGCCAGGGAACGCTTATTCCACTGAGCCATCTCTCCGGCCCACCTAGCTGCTTTTTTAAGAGGAAAAAAAATCTTTCTCTTGGAAAACACAAAAAATCACCAGCTCTAGTTTGATATTTCCTTGCATTTTAAACTTTCTGCTTTCTGCAAAGTGAGTGAGAAAGAAAGGGAGAAGGGGCCTTGGCTGAGGGAGGGTGAAGGAGGAAGGTAGATAGAATTGTCATGCATGGCACAGTGATTCCTGACCTTGAGGGCTCCTCAGTGACTACTGGCAGAGTCCTGACTGAACCTGTGGTGAAGCTCCGGTGGCTCTTTGTGTGACAATGTGAGAGGAGCTGTCTGAGATTCCCTCTGAGGTCTGTTTTGGTCAACTTTCCCTGGCTGAGAACCGAGGGCCACATGGGCAGGTGAGGGCCTCCTTGCACCAAGACTAAGAAATTCCTATTCTTTTCTCCCTCACACCTTAACAGAATGACAATAATCACCCACCTGGGCTTAGTAATATAATTTCTAATCTTTTAATTTAGGATCCATCAATTTATTTCCATCAATTTTGTTATTTCTTTACTTCAAATTATTTTTCAAGGCTTTAGTCTGGAAAGAATTCTGGCTTATAGGCCTGACTGAAGAAGGCCTCAAATTTACATTAACCCCAGAGAAGAGACTGGCCTCTTTCTCTGTCTCTCTTTCTCCTCCTCCTTTAGCTTTCCCAGATTCTCCTAATATGTCCCTTCTAACTTCACTTTGACAAAGACTGGGACAGAAGGGAAGAGCAGAATTTCTTGCTTGGGCCCTGGGGCAGCAGATTCATCTTCCCTTGGAACTGGGGCAGGCGCTTTTCTGTTTAGATATTTTGAGTCACAGAGGTTTTCTCAGGGCATTTACCAACTCACCACTCTTTTTTCACTTACTGGGAATAAATCATTGAGATTCCCAGGGGCCTGAGATGCTCTTCACCACGGCTGCGGTGTCATTGCTTCCCTACACGTTGCCTCCCATGGAGGCCAACAAAACCAGCTGGTGTGGTGTGCTTCCTCAGATCCTGGGGCTGAGGTGGGTGCATATTGATCAGCAGTGAAGCCCACACCCTCATTTCACTTTGGGAAATTTACTTGCTCACTGGAGTGTAGACAGAAGGATTTGTGATAAAAACTCTGACAGACTTGGAGTATTAGCGGTTATTCAGGATCCAGTCACCAGCCTGGCCTCGGAAGGTATCTTCTGAGTTCATTTTATGATTTTCTAAGAACTTTCATGTCACTTGATCACATCTGAGCCTCAGAGGGTTCCATGATGTAGACAGAGCAGAAATCCTTTTCATTTAAGTTTTATTTGAAGAATGGATGACTCAGAAAAGCAATTGCTCCTGCAAGGTAATGTGGGTGACGGAGAAGTCAGGGTGGGTTTCAGAGTGTCAGCCTCCTTCCTGGGCCTGGTGGCATCAGGACTGAGAGGAAAGAGCTGGAAAGTGAACACTGTTTTAGCCATGAAGGTAGTGATATCACAATGAATCGGGCATGTGTATGTATTTCCTTCAGTTTCCATGAACGCTTAGGATTTATGGGAGATGAACTAGCTCTACATTTGTTGAACAGTCAGGATATGATTGTTTCTAAGAAATATGAGCCTCCACCCACACACCCTGTGGTGCTAGGGCCTTGTCCTTGCTAAGCAAGTGCTCTATAACTGAGCTACAACCCCAGTACACTAAATTTTCAAATTAAAGAAAAGCCAAGACATCTCCAGTGCTCACAGCCTACCTTACTCTTCCTTAGCTTGTCTTCAGGGCTGGGCTCCAATGACTAGGAGAACATCCTCCAGTATGTTTTTGATGTCTATAGTGATTCATCAAAGGAAGAGATTTATATGTATTTAACAATAAGAGATAATAATCTGGTACCATTTTCATGGTGTCACGTTCTGTTCTGCCCATGCAAATGCCTACGCAGGCACACCACAAGCTGCTTTCTTATCTGGGAGTCCAGATAATTGTCTATCTCAGCATCAGCGTATCTAGGTGGTGCTGTGCCTGGTTATCTGGGGCTGTGTGGCTATCTGTGTAACTGGATATTATATTTAGATATCTGGCAGTGTGTATCTAGCTATCGGTGTGCAGAATGGTGTATCTAGACATTATCTCGGTGAGGATTTGATGTGGGAGTAGATTCCTGTCATCTCTGTAGCCTGCACCTTTATCTTGATGATGGCTTGAAGAGGGAACTCTGAGCCCTTCTCCTGGCAATGACCTTCCTTGGCTCTTACGCTGCCACGCCTGCCACCTTCCCGGCGTAAGGATGGGGAAACACAGTCTCAGCTCTAGTGTAGAGCTCTGTCTCTGTCCCAGGTACGATCTCTCCTAGTTTCAGGATGATGATTTTTGCTGTGTCTGGGAGTAGATCCTTCATGGATATTTTAGATTCTTTTTTCCTTAACTGGAATTTTCTGGCAGACAGGTGGAACCTTTCTTTACCCTGGAAGTCTGGTGGAAGGGGCTGTTCCTCCCAGGAAGTGCAGAGTGACTGAAATCCTGACAGTCGCTTCTTGTGTCTCTGCTGCATTTCCCTGGGATCCTGGCCAGAGTACGGCTGGCTCTTGGTGGCAGATGTGTGCTCTTGAGGTTGACTTGACCCTAGTTCTGTGTGGGGAGAAGCCTCTGCTTGCCTTGTACAGTCCCAGATCTTGCTTCTGAGCCCCAGAAGCTGATGTATTTACAAAGGACAAATGAAGTTTATAAAAAAGCCAGAGACAGCAACCTGCGGCAGAATAGGCCCTGTCACTGTTGGCGTGAGGTCTCGCCACTGTGCCTTCACTTTGGCTCATATGTGGGCTGTAGGAATGCACTTTCATGCTAAGCAAGTGCCCTAGACCCCAGACATGGGCATTAACTACTTACTGAATGGTTATTTAGCTTTTGGGCTGGTTAGAACTAGGGAGAGGCTGAAACTTCCAACCACTGAAGTTTCTGTCAGGTGATACAGTCAAAAGATTTTCTTTGGGAAAATAATGTTGTATTAAAACTGGTCGTAGAACATGCACATTCTAGGGAGATTGTTAGGCCACTTGCTACTACAAAAAGGCAAGGTGGAAGAAAAGCAACCAAAACCTTCTTAGCAAAGAGGTGTGCCCCATTTTTTCCAAGGCAGTTAGACTTCAGCACTGAAGTTGGATTACCTGGACAGCACTTGTCGAATCCTAGAATTTTCATACTAATAGACTAAAGGTGTTTTCCTCTGCAATTTTTCTCAACAGTGCATATTCTCATGAAATATTCTAGGGAAATGGTAATAAAATAAGGAAAGTTATTTTATTTTAGTTACTTGAAAAATATAGGCATACTCAGTGGGTCCCTGGAGATGCAAATTTCCTGGAGGAAAACTATTCTCCACGTTCTTGATACTGATGAACTTAGTAGGTAAGCTGTGCTTGGAGCTTAGGCTCTCTGGTCTCTGTAGATCAGAGATGTGGACAGTCTGAACCTCCCACCCCTTGAAACCTAGCCCGGCTGCTCAGAGTCCTGGAAAGAAGGAAGGGACAAGTGGGGGAGGGAGGGGAGGAAGGGGCCTTGGAAACCCAAACAGATCCCTAGCCTGAGTCAGCCAGCAGAGTCCATGTTGCTGTGGGAAAACCTGTGCCATGTCAGAGGCAGCAAAAAAGTAAAAAAAAAAAAAAAAAAATTGATCTTTGCTTAGATTAACAGACCCCTGACTATGAAGAAGGAAGGCATCCAGACCCGAAACCGGAAGATGTCTAGCAAATCCAAAAAGTGCAAAAAGGTTCACGACACGCTGGAGGACTTCCCCAAGAGCAGCTCCTTCAACCCGGCCGCCCTCTCCAGACACATGTCTTCCCTGAGCCACATCTCCCCCTTCAGCCACTCCAGCCACATGCTGACCACACCCACGCCCATGCACCCACCGTCCGGCCTCTCCTTCGGACCTCACCACCCTTCCAGTATGGTCACTGCCATGGGCTAGAGCCCCACTTGAGGTGCACAGGTCTCTGAGCGAGTGAGCAAGCGACAGTCCCTTCAGTCCCTTCTACTTGCGTTTTTGCAGGAGCAGTATCATGAAGCCTAAAGAGATGGATCTATGTTTTTGAAGGCAGAAAGCAAAATGATGTTTGCCACTTTTGCAAAGGAGCTCACTGGGGTATCTGTGTTCCAATCACTGAATCTGGATCCCATTTGTGAATAAGCCATTCAGACTCATACTCCCTATTTAACAGGGTTTCTAGTGCTGTGAAAAAAAATTGCTGAACATTGCTTATAACTTATATTGTAAGAAATACTGTACATTTGAGAAAGACTTTATTGTACCTGGGTAGTGGTAAGAAAGGTATGAAGGACGCCAAGAGTTTTAAGGAATATGGGAAAATAAAGTATGGAAATCCAGAAGAAACTAGGCCTGATATCCAAATGGACAAGCTGCCAGTTCTGTTTCCTTTCACTGGCCACAATTGTTTGATGCATTAAAAGAAAAAAATATATAAAGGAAAAAAAAAAAAAAGAAAACAGAAAAAAAAAAAAGAAGAAAAAAAATCGTAGCAAATCCTTCATTCAAAGCTGTGGGCCCCTGCAAAGGAAATAGCATTTCCAGGCAATCCGTGTTGGAACTCACACATTGCCGCCGCCGCCGAGGGCTCTGAAGTGGCACTTCTAGGCCGACATGCTTGGTGAACAAGTCTCTGTAATTGTTGTTTGTATGTATAATTCAAAGCACCAAAATAAGAAAAGATGTAGATTTATTTCATCATATTATACAGACTGAATTATTGTACAAATTTATTTACTGCTAGTGTTAAGAACTGCTTCTTTTTTGTTTTTTGGATTTTAATGTTTGCCTTCTCTCTCAATTTTCGGTTGAATAAACTAGATTACATTCAGTTGACCTAAGGCGGTCGTGCTCTGGAGGGTTTACTTTTCCCTTTTGCTTTTGGATGATATTTATTACATAGCTTTGAAGGGTCCTCAGTGTCTGCCCTCTCACTCCTTCCTCCTGCAGCCTGAGCTATCAGGGTAGCCGCGAGTGTGCGTGCGTGCGAGCCACCGGGTGCGTCTGGGACCCGGCCGAGGGCTGTACCTGGAGCAGCCTGGCTCCCTGTCGCCCCGTCGCGCTCTGTGTTAGTGGTCGCTGCCTTTACACAGTCTGTTGGAATGATTCTATGACAATAATAATACAGTTAAACTATTTTAAGACAACAAAATAACATCAAATCAAGGTGATGGCCGAGCTCTTATAGAATCTGGTAGCTCTAGCTAATTTAAGACAGGAGTTTTTCTAAAAAAACAACAACATGACCAAATACATGTTAAGTTATTCACAAGGAGCCGGTGCCCCAGACAGAAAACATCTACTCTTTTGGGAAGAGAAACCTAGGGTCACCCCGAGGAATTTATCCTGGGGCTGGGGCAACTTCTGGGGTCCCCTCGTGAGCTACAGTTTCTCTGCTGGCTCCCCTCTCTTCTCCAAGAAGGGGGAAGACTCCCTGGTCAGGAGAGCCACAGGCAGAAACTGTGGTGGTGAATTGCTCTTCAGATTGTAAACGAGTCGGCTGCTCTTGATTTCTGTTTTGCTTTTCCACTGTTGAATAACGTGGCAGTGAAAGGTTTATTGGAATGTTTGCGAAACTTGAAATAACCATTTTGTAACTTATGCTGTATAGTTTCCTTTTACTCTGTTGACAGAATGTGTAACTATGGCACACATTTAAAAATCTCTGTTAATCGCCTCTCTGCTTTCTTAGCAAATATTTTAAACCTAAAGCTAAATGTTGAAATAAAGGAGTAGAGAATTACTGAGATGCAAATGGCGATCTCACTGACTCCTAATTCATGACCTATAATTCAGACATTGTTTCCAATTACTTTCAAAGCACGAAAGGAAATAATCACCGATTGCTATATTAAGCCTGGGAGATTTTATTGTATAGTTCCAAGTCTCAGGATTCCCCACCTCTTTTCTTCATGAACAGATCTGCGTTAGTGCCCTTTCACCTTAAGAACAGGGAGTTCAAATTCTTGACATTCTTGGAATGGGAAGGGAGGGGGCACATAGAAAAATCCCGAAGTTGTACCTTGCCTGAGTTTCCAGCCGTCCTGACGCATTTCACCCAAATCATTCTTCAGAGAGACACGAACGTGCTCTTCACTGCACATTGGTTGAACCTCCTACAGTGTTTCCAGAAGATGATGCAAAAGCTTTGAAATATACGGATGGGTCTATAAGGAGAACGGTGGTTTCATTTCTCTAAAATGCTGTTTTCATGACTTCAACAGTTTGAGTCATTTAAAACATTTAAAAAAATATATACGACACAATGGAAGAGCAATATCAGCAAGGTGGCAAGGTAGAAAAGTAGGACAAGGTTGTTGGATCTAAGGCAGTGTTAGCATATTTTTCAGCCAGTTGTTCCCTAATTAATTTTCTATGTTTTATTTATCTTGAAATAGTTGCATTAGTTTATCCACAGAGGACTATTTGAGAAAAATGGGGGATGATTTTAGGAGATGCATCATAATATGAGTAAGTTCTGTAAGATATTTTAAAAACTAATAGACAAACTAGTCTTGCTATTTATGAACTACTCATTTATCTAAAAGTAGAAGTTCCTGAGGTAAAAGTTTCGGATGTAATCACT